TACTATTTGGAGTTGGGGAGTTGTTATTTCGCTGCAGGGGTGTGTTCCTAGTCGAGGTCTTTGTCTTGTTCGTTATTGTCATTGTCCGTGTCCTGGTCAGATAGTTCCTGCCCTTGGTAAAGTGTGTCAGTTGTTTTTAATAATTTTTGTCCCAAGCACGTTTTGTGGTAGTTCCGTCTTTGTTTATCAAATTCCAAAGCATTGCATTTATTCACTAGTCAACAAATCACAAGCGCGATTAATCTGTTGTCTAATGTTTACAAATCTCGAGTTTGGCTATTAGGCCCTTTTTTTTAATGTGTTAGAATTATGTGATCAATGTTAGTTTACTCTGTCAGTCCAGTGTTTATTTTCGGTCTCGATTGGGACCGCCTTACGCATTTGCTGTTGACAGACTTATTGCCCCACGCCGCGTGCCCTTCATAGGTTTTAAAGATATCCCAATAAACACTTTAACGATACCTATCACCATTGACATTGCCCGTGTAAGAATTTTTAACACTTTTTAATACAATTCTGCAAAGATAATTAAAAACAAAACAATTGTTTAAAGAGTAAAATATGTTCTTAACATAATCATATTTTAAAGTTATTTTAACATTTTCAAGTAAAATAAATGTTATGTTTAATGAAATGAATACGGGCGATGTTAATGGTGACAAATAACGGAAAATGCTTGCTGGGATCTGCCGTATTTATATTGCAGATTTGTATCAGGTCATGCATACTCTTAAAGTAAAACTTATCAGATTTTTCCCCTTGCGGATGGCCACCTCCCCTCTTCTCCGACCTCCCCCGTCCGTCCAGTGAAAAGCCTCCAATGACAGGTGGCACTACATTTTAAGAGTTTTTGGACCACCCATAAGGTGTCACTCTACACTTCAACTTCAACACTTCCCTGACCTTAGGGTGGACTACAGAAACGCTAGTTGCCACCCTACAGACTATTTGCACTTTATAAGCAATCATTGCGAGCATTGCTGTTTGTAAGTTTCAAGAGCGCGACGGCAAGATGCAAGATGCGACTAACTTTGACGAGCACTCGAACGTGACTGCTAATCAAGGTAGATTGTTCATTATTCAATAAATTAATACATTGTATTTTGATGTGCAAAGTTATAAACGCCTACAGAGTATTAATTATATAGCTTCGCGCTTTACTAGCCAACAGTGCAAGGACGTATTTTTTTTTGTTCCAGAGCCCACACCCTGGAGAAGATCCGAAGGTTACTACTCCTTTTAGCACTGTGATCACTTAAAATTATCACTAGTACACCTAATTCACTTAAAAATTATTCACTTGCACTTACTTTTCACAATTTTACACAGAAACAGTTTTTATTAGATTTAATTTCAATGAATTTTCGTGATATGGCAGAAAATAAGCTAAGCGTCGGACAGCGAAAGTTTCCCACTCCGCGGCTTGAAACAGACTAACGCTGACAATCTCAAATAATAAAATAAATTTTTAAAATTTAAATATACGCGGTCGCTTTTGGCAACGCTGCATTTTAGTTCCTCCATAACCGTATAAGGGCGCTTCATTGCATCAAAATTATACCGTCAGATGTTCATCTATTTGGTTTGGTCTAGGTATATGCCTTTTAACCATACCTTTGGGATTTTGTAAAAAATTACATTCAAGTAAAAATAAAATAAGTCCTTTTGAAAAATCACTCCTCAAATATAACATTTACATATCATAGTTACGAAAGATTGTTAGACTAAATTGTCAATATATTTGTCATTAAAAGTTCAACTTAATATCGATGACTTTCTGCCAAAGTATCGCATGCAACATAACTAAAATTTCGAGAATTATAATAGGTTACATATGGTTTAAAACAGACTTTAAAACAAAAATTGTTTTCAATTCCCGAAATTTGAGTTATGTTGCTTGCGATACATTGGCAGAAAGTCATCGCTATGTGTTTTATATCTTTATAATATATAATACAATGTGTATTTAAAAGATCACTTTGTGCAATGGAAACATTTACGAAATGGTCATTTTAAAGGTAGAGTAGAAAATACTTAATAAAAAAACATACATCTAAAACTTTTTACTTTGTATTTTATAATTTTTTTGTAAAAAATAAAGATAGAATACAGAAAAACTACTACTTTTTCCGGGTCAAGTTGCCAACTTGGCACCTTTTTATTTACTGTGTACTCTCTTAAAATGAAATAGTCAAAATTCTACTATTTGAATTAGTACCAGCATTTTTTACTAATAAAATAATCGTTTTCACTTATTTAAATTTTTAAATTTAAATCTACTAATTTGACTAAATCATGTACGTTCGAAATAAACATCTTCCTCTAAATGGAATATGCATTTTATTATTGCTAGTTGGTACATATTTTTGTTGCAAATATTCCACATAAGTTTATAATAGTTTGCATATTGCAGCTTGTTTATTATATTGGACTCATTCCGGCTGTGTAATTATCGAATCTTGGAACGTTTAACAAAAGGAGCAATAGTGCAAAAAAGTTCATTTTAATCTACGGCTCCCTGTGCCATGTGTTACCTAGATAAAAGTTTTAAGAAAGTGTCTACAGTCACGAGGCGGGATTTAAGTTCGATCCCGATTGACGTCATTATTTTACGACACGTATTGTAAATCGGTATTATTGTGTGTTATGAAATGAATATCAGGCGCTCGCTTAGCATGCGAGAGGTACGGACCGTACGGTACCATATTCATTAAATTATATTATTATTAAATATACCTGAAAGAATATTAAATGTATATTCATTCATGGACATACATGATATTATTTTATTTTATATACACTTCGCGTCAAATTTAACGCACCACTAAAAATTTGCCACAATTTTAAAGTTGATTTTCTCGTGAGCCGTCAAATCGAATTTGGTAGTTTGTGTTTTAAATTGTAGGTTTATTCTTTGGTTATGACCCCTTTATTAAAATATTTTTTCAAATTAACGTTTTGAGTATATAAAGGGTGCAAGAGTAATAATAAGTTTTGTCCTGTAAATTTCAAACGCCCTGTGGGTTGTACCAGCTATAACAGCAAATGTCTCTTATAATCAAACTATAGCCCCATCTTCTCTTAACAGTTTGTTTTTTAATTCACCGCGTTATCTTTATTTTTAAAAGAAATATACAGTTAAATATTAAATAACTCCAGTTTAATAAAAAAAAATGTAAAAAGAACGATTATAACAATAACAATAAAAATATGAACAAACTCAATAAAACCAACATGAAAGGATATCAATATGGAGTATTTCCGCCTCTACTTCTAATTACGGCTCATACTCGAAACCAGAGGCCTATTCTCGCCTCAATGACATTCCATATTTCTCGTAGCATATTTGCTACGTCATCAAGGGAGGCAGGCAAGGGATCATGATTTCTTAGTCGTCTACCCATATTATCACAAAAATGCTCAATGGGGTTGAGATCCGGACTATTTGCAGGCCAGTCTAAAGTTTCAACACCCACCTGATGAAAGTGCTCTTGCACGGTGTGAGGTCTTGCGTTATCCTGCATCAGTAAACAACTATTACCGATGTAAGGGGCGAAAGGGACAACATGTTCAGATAAAATGTCCTCGGTATATCGTACACTATTCATGGTACCTCCACGAACAATGACGAGTTATCTGCGAGCTGTCAAGGAAATTCCTCCCCAAACCATTACAGAACCTCCATTAAATAGCGTGGTTTCACGAATGTTACACTGTGAAAATCTCTCATTTGGACGTCGGAGAACCCTTACTCGCCGATCAGAGCTGAATAAACAAAATCTGGACTCGTCTGTAAATAGTACACGCTGCCAATCCTCAAGATTCCAGCCAACCTGTTGTCTGGCAAATTGCAGTCTTCAGAATAAAGCATGCTCTACGATGATTTGCATTTAACTTGGTCCTGTTGCTGGAATTCTGAAGCATAAATTCTGTTCCGCAAGACGTCTTCTTACGGTGGACACACTTGTATGGCACGGTAGCTTAATCCTTGCTCGGTCAATGTAATAATTCTTACACATTCATCACGATTCAAATTTCTCACTTGGCGCTCCATTACAATAACTTTATGCAGACAACTTAAATAAAAATGACAGTTTCTGACCTACCATGACCTACCTATGTTAAGTTCTTTCATTTTACATTAAACTAGAGTTATTTCGTCCTTAACCGTATATATCATTTAAAAAAATAGATAGCGACGTGAATCAAAAAACAAAATGTTAAGAAAATATAGGGCTACAGTTTAATTATATAAGTAATATGCTGTTAAAGCTGGTACAACCCACAGGGCGTTTCAAATTTACGGGAAAAAACTTATTCATTCGTGCACCCTGTATATACTCAAAATGTAAATTTGAAAAAATATTCAATAAACGTATTATTACCAAAGAATAAACCTACAATTTAATAAAAAAATCACCAAATTCGGTTTGACGGTTCGCGAGAAAATCAACTTTGAAATTGTGGAAAATTTTCAAGAAACACCCGCTTTCAGGAAAATGAAGATCAAATTTTTTTTTTGCTTAAATTGACTTTTGGTTGGATTTTTATAAATGTTTAGAGTTTTGTTTACTTACATTTAAGACAGGCAGTGCACTTTTTAATTTTTTTTACGTTTTTTTCAGAAAAATGTGTTTAGCTAGCTTTATATATCTCCACTCACGGTACACCTGAACCACTTTTAAATCGAAAGTCGAACACCTATTTTTTTTGGTTTAGTATGTCTTATGGGTCTAAACTATATAGAAAATACAAAAATTAAAATGGTTCTTAGAGCCGTTAAAAAACAACACAAAAGGTAAAAAAAATAAAATGCTTGGAAAGCCTCACAAAGTACCACTGCGTTTTCTAACGCCTTCACTGCATTTATGTTAGATCATGTTAGGTTGCTAATGATAACTTTAGGCTCTTTTTAGTTTTGTTTGAGATGTCAAGGTATTATAAATTTAGTTGTCACATGTACGACTTCTTATTCTAGATAAAGTTCAGCGTTTCCAATAATGGTAAGCCAAAATAATTACTGTATAATCCACATAATATCTTATATATTTTTTTCATATAAGATCTTAGTAGATACTTTATGTGTATATATATATATATATATTTATATATGTTTATTTTAGGCCGAAATAAGATCGCATCCTAAGGATCATTCTCTCACCCATGAAGAAAATAGAGCAATAATTTGTCTTATGTGTTTGCAGAAGAGAAAAAAAATGTATACGGTATGTGACAAATTAAAAGAAACACATACAATCCAGTTGAGTAACAATGTGCTACCATCGGCACTTTGCTGCAACTGCAAGATAAAAGTTCATTGTGCCTCAAAAGAGAACAAGATTCTTCTATTGCCAAATTACGAGGGCTTTACTGGAGAAATGATTAAAACTCGATCTAATGATAATTCAAAACCTTGTTTATGTAAATTATGCGAGCTGGCTAGAAGCACCTCTAGCTGGAACTTTGGTACAAACTCTCGTCCACGTAAAGAAGCAGGCATTTTAAAAGAAACTCATTTGCAAATCTTGTTTTGCCATACTACGCAAAGGCAGAGAACACAATTATTGTACTATTACTACAGCTGTGAAAAATATAGAGAGTCAAGTAAATCAGTCTTTTACCCAACAGCAAAAAGAACAGCTGCTTTCTAAACTAATAAAGTCCACAGTAACAATGAATAATAAATCTCTATCTCAAATTCACGGAAAACCATTACCAATCTTAGTAAAACATAAAAAAGAAAATATCAATCCAATTAAATGTGATGACATTCTAAAAATTAAAACAAAATTCAATTTAAGTTCTAATGTTACTAGTGGAATTGCAAATTCTCTAAGAATAGTGACCAAAAAATGAAACTTGATAGAACCAAATTTAAAAGAAAGATTAGTTTGTGAAAACCATAAGGTAGATATCTTTTTTGACGCTAAGACTATCGATTTTTCAAAATGTAAGAAACTTGACGAATCAGTTGTTCCGGAAACACTGGTTTTCTGCAACAACCTAGAAGCTTTCATAAGATTTGTCGAACAAGAAAGAGAAGTAAAAAATGTTCAGCTTAAATTTGGAATAGACAGCGGTAGAGGTTTCCTGAAAATGTCTTTATCTGTTCTTAATAAAGACAAGCACCTTTCTGCTTAAAATCATCAAAAGTGTAAAATATTGCAATAACGTAGATGTACGATTCAAAGACACAGGAGTTTTAAAAATCCTAATTCTAGGTTTATCTCAGGATACAGAGGAAAATTACGCAAATGTTGCTAAACTTTGGACTTTATTAAGGTTAAACGATAATTTTGTTGGCACTATTGCTACTGACCTGCTACTTGTTAATACTCTCGTGAAACATATGATGCTAAATTTCTCAGAGGATGCAGAAAAATGGATTAAAGCTTAAGCTTTACAATTGTAATGTTCAGAGACATCTAACTCACAGAGGCCCTTCATTCAAAGGCAATTCATGCAACAATCTTCTAAAAAAAATGATATTTTAAGATCATTATGCTGCATGGCCATGCATGGGCTGTCTTAAATATGTACACACATTCACATGTTTTGCAAAAGTTGTCGATTGCTGTTTTGGCGAAAGCCTTGAGCAAGAATATGTACAACGTATTTCAGAATTTAAAAGAACGTATATGGCGCTGAATATTCCAGTAACTCCAAAAGTACATGCAGTCTTTTTTCATGTCCAGCAATTTTGTGAAAAAAGAAAATCTGGTTAGGGACTTTGGGGTTTTGCTCAGATTTGGTCTAAATATAAAGTTAGCAGAAATAATAAACTTTACGCAAACAGACTTTTGAAAGCTGTCCGGGAATATAACAGCAATCACATATAACTAATCTAGTATTAATTTTTATTGTTTTATGGTTTGTTTGTATTTAAACAGTATGCTTAAATATTAAATATTAGAAAAGTTTACTTTTGCATTTGTATTTTTGTTACATCTAACAAAGAACCCATATTATTCCCAATAGTTTTGGATTTTTATTAAAAACGGCTCTAAGGATTATTTAATTTTTTTGTTTACTATTTAGTTTAGGCTTATAAAACATATTAAAGCAAGAAAAAAGTTAGGTGATCGACTTTTAATTTAAAAGTGGTTCAGGCGTGCACTGGGTTACCAATTTAAAATCCAAAATTTAATTCAATAAAAAAAGTTGTTATAAAATAATTTGAAATAAAATGTACATAGTTCACAAACGTTTGACTCCAATTTTTTATTTTTCATTAAAAATTGTATGCTTTTTTTAAATATGTATGTTCGTTAAGTTACTTTTTAAAAGAAACCATTCCGATTCTTTGTTAAAAAAAACAATATCATTAATATTTTCTTTTAGTCACTTTAGTATTAGTGAGTTAAACTCTAATTTATAAACACGTATTACCAAGTGATAGTGTATAAAAATCATTTTAAGTATTTTTTTTAACAAAAAAAAGTAACGATATAGGCATTGGTAAAACAACGGACTGGTGTACACAAAGGACTATAAGCTGCTGAAGATCCCTTTTAGTACTTGTATATTGCGTGGAATTTTCCCTTGGATGTAATCTATATCATGAGTTGTAATCACAAATAATTTTAAATTGGTTTATCATAAACTAATTTAAATAAAAGCGACGGTAAATATCCACTTTGTTGTCGAAAAATTTTATTGCGTTACCCTAAATTCCATTGCGTTTGCCATAAGGTAAGATAATGGACTCGGTAACGCAGTGGAAAAAGTTTTGTGAAACCATATTTAAAAAATAATAATAAGACATTACAGTCATTAATTACTCTCAATGAGCTTTAGTGCCCTAAAATAAACATAAACATGAAAAATAGTATTTTTTCTTACCTTATTATTATTTTTTTTGAGTAACTTAGCGGACAAACAATTATTACATTCGCGTTACACGTACCTGTTTCAACCGATATCTTTTTCCTGATTGAATAAATAAATTCAGATGGGTAATGTGTCCGTCCGAACATAATTTGTTGATCACGTGAGTGCCAAAAAAGTTACCATATATATGTTTTTTTTTAATATTCTATCGGTAACGCGACGGACGTAACGCAACGGAAAAAATGACTGGGACATGAGTCAAATTTAAAAAAAGTAGATTAAAATTAATTATTTTATAAATAAATTGTTTACTATAAAGCAACACAAAGTTCTGGTTATTCAATATTTAAAAAAAACATGTATGTTTTATAAAACGCTAATGGGACATGCGAAAATGTGTTTCACAAGTTTCAAAATTAAAAAAAAAATATTCTGAAATAACTAAACAAACATTTTCTGAAAGAGTTTACTAAGGGCTTGTTAGGCTTTCACTTGGTTGTTAAATCAATAAGATCCGATAATTTTTAACAAAGTAATTGGAATTCAAACTTACGGACAGCGGAAGGCGGGTGTTTTTTAAAAACGACCCGTATATTAGGTTAAAAGTCTTGACCAATTAAAATATATTCATATCCCTTAAGCCGGGTCTACAATTGTCGCAGGGGTCCGATCGCAGAACATAAGCCTGCGCAAAGCACCCAGCGACGTGGCGATGGAGCAAGGTTGTTATATCAGCTGTCTACAATTCGCTGGCCGAGAATTACAAGGGTGTATGTAACAAATTTAAAAATATAGGACTCGTTAACATAAATTGGCAACACAAAATAATCAAGTAGGCTTCATTATTTGGTGTTGCCAATTTCTGTTAACGAGCTGGATACCACTGTATATGTATATGGTAGCTTGTAAAGTCCTAAGGCCGATATTTTTAAATTTGTTACATACATGTAATACATGTGAGGGTGCACCCTTGTAATACTCGGCCAGCGAATTGTCGCGCGATGAGCTTTTGTTTTCCAATCAGAGCATTGTCTTTTTCATGACCGAGTGTGGCCAACTTAGAGGTTTTTCCCTTAAATTTAGTGAAAAAAATCTGCTTGGTGTTTTTTTAGGGAAAAATGTTTAAAAGTTTATATATAATTATATTTGAATATTATATACAGGGAAGGTAAAAGTGTAATTATCCATGACAATTTCATGTGTGGGACAAGGATACATCGATTTAAAAAAGCAATGCATGTATTAAGATAGGTTGATTGGTGTAATTGGTGTAACGGAGTGGGGTGCACCAACGGAATGAGGTGTTTATTGAGATTTAGGGCCTACATTGCAATGCATTGTAGGCGTCTAAGACGACCGCTAGTATTTCAGAAGAAAATAGCTGTTTATAATTTATTTTAAAAAGTAAATTTATACCACAACTTATCATATGGTTTTTAACACTGGGTGTGGACGAAGCGCTTGGGCGATTTGCTTTTACATTTCCAAATCGCCCAATCCCTACGAAACAAACAATAAGAAATATTTTTAATCGTTTTAAAAATTCTGGGTGTGCTTCAAACTGCAGTAGTCATAAGGAAAATCATATGCCTAATAAAATATCGCAGGAAAGACTGGCACGGGAATTAAATGTCTGCTCCCTTGTCGAAATTAACGAACCTTGTCAAGCTACAAAAATTGCGGAAGAGGTTGGTTTACAAGCCAGAACAGTGAAGAACATTTTAAAACGCAATAAATACAAAAGTTTTAAGCTAAAGACCACCTAGGAGATATTTTCCGAAGACCAAGAAAGGAGGTTACAATTCTGTGAAATAATAAGACACAAAAATAACCACGATGAAAATTTTATTAGACATTGTTTTTTTGGATAAGTCTTCTTTTGCACTACATGGAACATATAACTCGATATTGGTCTCGGGAAAATCAGCATCTGGCACTTTTTAAAATTCAATTATTGGCCCTTTCTTTATTGATGGAAATTTAAATGCCGATATACTTAAATATGTTGAAAAATTAAATTGTTCCTGCCATTCGTGATGTGTCTCCAAACTTTGAGAATATTTGGTATTAACAGGATGGTTGTCCAGCTCATAATGCAAGGCGAGTTAGAGAGTTCATTGATGCTACTTTTCCAAACAGATTAATTTCTACAACATGGACGATTTTTTGCTCCCTAGATACCCTGATTTAGCACCCTGCGATTTTTTTCTTAAAATACAATTTATGGACATGAACATGACAAGAGCACACAATTTAAATGAATTGCGTGCAAAAATTGTTACTGCGGTGGAAAATATAACCCCAGAAATGTACAAAAAGAATTATACTTTCCAATATGCCATTGCGAAATTCAAAACGGAGGCCTTTTCGAACATTTATGTAATTAATACTTATTATTTGTTATTCTTTTTTTGTTTTCGTTATTTAAATAAAATATTGTTTTTTATTTTTATTTTTTTTACTACTTTTATGGCCACTTGCACCGTAAGTTTAACAGTGGTTTATTTTTTAACACAGGTTTATTTTTCATAACTGGCTTGCACCGTAAATTAATCCTTGTTTAAATACTTCTAAACTACTGTTAAAATAAACCCTCAATTTCGGGGGTTTAAATTACTTTAATCCACCGTTAACGATTTATAACCTCAAAAGTACTTGTAATCGGTATTCAAGATCTTTTTTTCCGAAGATATTATTTATTGACATCTTTAGCAAATTCCATAACTATAGTTATAGGTATAGAGGTCATCAACTCTATAATTAGTCACTACTAA